AGTCAGCTGGCTCCATAACAAGGAGGAAGGGCAGCAGGGGAGAGGGTATGTTGGAGGAGAAACAGTCCATGGCAGGGCAGGCAAAAGGCAGGAGCAGTTAAGAAAGCCTCTTTTACCTTTTTATTCTATCCAGACTACAAGCCTTTTGGGTGGTGTCACCCACATGGAAAAGGTGGGCCTTTCCATTAAAGACACCCAGAACTATACTAAACCAATCAGTGGACTAATTCAGTACCACACACCCTTAATCCCATCAACACACACCCTAGGATCCAGCCAGCTCCAAAAAGCCCCATCACCTATGAGTGAATGAGGCTTTAGGGGTACAACTATATACAAGCCATAACATTCAGTCCCTGGACTCATACATATCCAATGCATAAGGCATTTAGTGTATCTCTAAAAGTTGCCAAAGTCCTAACAGTTTCAGCATTGCTGAAAAGTCCAAGTTCAAAGTCTCCTTTGAGATTTAGGGCAAACTCATAGCTGTGAGCCCCTGTAAAAATGAAAAGAAAGTTAAAATACTTCCAACATACAATGGCACAAGATAAACATTCCCATTCCAAGTGTGGGGTAGAAAGAAATGGGACTAAAGCAAGTCCAAAATCCAGCAAGGCAAGTCCATGTCCAGCATTCAGTGCAATCTGTAGCAAGATGTAAATTCAAAAAGGCCTGAGTGGCTCCCACCCTACAGCACTGCTGCTGGTTGTAGCTCCTTGGCTTCTCCCTTGGGGCAGCTTTCCTCAGGCAATCCATGTTCCTCACTTCTCCAACCTTCTGGGGTCTCCACTGCACCTTTGACTCCACACTCATAGCTTCATACACTGCCCTCTCAGGGGCACATTGCCTGGCCTCCCAGGTCTTCTGAAATCTCAGTGGAAGCCTTCCTGACCCCACAACTATTGGATTCTGCGTGCACCTAAAACCAGCACTACGTAGATGATGCCAAGGTCTGCTGCCAGCTGGAGCAGTAGCCAGGCTTCCTTCTCTTGGCTGTAGGGATTGAGTGCCTGGACTGTTCAGCACTATGAACCCAATCCAGAGGAACAAATTGCCTAGGCTGCTGCCACTCTGAAATATGGTCCTCTGGGGCTTTTTTGCAAAGCAAAGTTTTTCACCCTTGCAATTTTGAGGCTGCAAAAGGTGGAGTTTTGCTGGTTCTTGTGATGCCTTCAGGCTCCCTTTTCTATTGTCCAGTTCCAAAGTACTTGGCTTTTTAATGCCAGTCATTTTAGCAATCAAGTTCTCCTCTTTTCCATGCTGTAGTCTTTAACTTTTCTGGAGATTCCTTTCTGGCCAAACTCAAAACTTTTAAATCATTCTGCTGAGCTGTTTGTTCTTGATCCTCAACAAAGATCTGGCTAAAAGCCCCCAAGAGTAGCCACATGACCACCCCAACGTTAGAATGCCTTGAAATTTTTTCTATCAGATTAATTAGTCCACTGTACTTAATCTCAGTCTCAAGCAAAATGTCTGGACAGGAATGAAATGCAGATAAATTTTCAACCAGAGCATAACACACATGATCTGGAGTCCAACTGCCAATGAAGTCCTCAGTTGAAATCTCTTGAGCCTAGTCTTTTCCAGCTGCACTGCAGTCAACATTCTGGTCTTCTGAGCTCCAACTAGAATCTCCCATGAAGCTTGGCTCACAGCATTCTAGGGCTGCTTCTTCAGCCAGCATCTCCAAATCTTTCCAAACACCTTCCACAAGCCTGTTGTTTCTGAACCAAATGATCAGGTAGTGTCAACGGCAGTGATCACACTTCTCTGGTACCAAAATCTGTCTTAGTTACTTTTCGTTGCTGAGACAAAATATGCAATACCCACAAGTTAAAAGAGGCAAGGTTTATTAAAAGGTTTATTAAACGTTTATAGCTCATAGTTTATAGAGGTTTCAGTCTATAGTCAGCTGGCTCCAAGGCAGGGGGACAGGGCAAGGGGCATGGCAGAGGAGAAACAGTCCATGGCAGGGTAGGCAGGAGACAGTAGCAGTGAAGCAAGACTCCCTTTCCCTTTTACCTCATCCAGGCCTTTTGGGTGGTATCATCCACACTCAGAGTGAACCTTTCCATATCCATACCCAGAACGATGCTAAACCAATCAGTGGACTAATTCAGTACCATGTACCCTTAATCTCCGTATCACATACCTTAGATCCAACCAGCTTTGAAAAGCCTCACCTATGAGCGCATGAGGCTTTGGAGAGAGAACTAGATATAAGCCATAATTGGACAGGAAAAGAAGTCAAATTATCATTATTTGTGGATGACTTGATCCTCTACACAGAAGACCTCCCAAATTCCACCAAAGACTCCTAGAATTAAGAGCCAAATTTAGTACTGTAGCAGGCTGTAAAGCAAATGGATAGAAATCAAGTGTTCCTGCACATCAATAATGAGCTCACCAAGAAAGAAATTAGGGAAATGATAACCTTTTACAAGAGCTGCAAGAAAATATAAATACCTAGTAGGAATTAACCTAACCAAGAAAGGCAAAGATCTCTACAATGAAAACTACAGTACTCTGAAAAAGGAGATCAAAGAGGATATCAGGAAAGGGAAAGCTATCCATTGTTCCTGAATAGGCAGAACCAATATATTCAAAATGGCCAGGGGCCGGGGATTTAGCTCAGTGGTTCTACCACCTGCCTCGAAAGCACAAGGTACAGAGTCTGATCCCCAGTACCAAAAAACAACAACAAAATATGTTCAACAGGGCCGGGGATTTAGCTCAGTGGTTTCGTCGCCTGCTGCGCAAGCGCAAGGACCCAAGTTCAATCCCTGGTACCAAAAAAAAAAAAAAAAAAAATGTTCAACAACTCTGGCCATTAGCGAAATGCAAATTAAAACAATACTGAGATTCCATCTTCCTCCATGTTATGACTTGTATCTAGATATCTCCTCCAAAGCCTCATTCCTTTATAGGTGGGACTTTTCAGAATGGCTAGATCTAGGGCATGTGAATATGGATTAAGGGTATGTGACAATTATATTAGTCCATTGATTGGTTTGGCATATTTCTGGGTATGAATAATAGGAAGGCCTATCCTGGGTGTGGGTGGCACCAACCAATAGGCTTACAACCTCAATGAAACATAAAGGGACAGAAAAAAGGCAGGCTCAGTGCTGCTTCCTGTCTTCTGCCTGCTCTGCCCTGCCCTGCCATCCTGCCTTGAAGCCAGCCAACTGCAGACTAAAATCTCTACTGTGAACTAAAATAAACCTTTCTTCCTATAATTTTCAGGTATTGGGTATTTTGTTCCAGCAGAGGAACAAACTAAAGCAAAGAAAGAAACTAAGACAATCCAGAAAGAAACGTCATTAATAATCAGATAACAACCAATGCTGGCAAGGCTGCGAAGCAGGTGTGGGGAGAGGAATCCTTCATTGTTAGTGGGAATATAAACTAGTACAACTATGGAAATCGGTATGGAAATTCCTCGAAAAACTAAAACAAGAAACCCCATTCAACCTGGCTATTCCCCTCCTAGGTATCTCCCAAAAGAATTAAAGACATATTACAGTGATGCATGCATACCCATTTTTATAAGCAGCATAACACATAATAGCCAAATCTTGGCAATGGCTTGCATGTTCATCAACAGATGAATGGATAAAGAAAATGTATTTATATAAGATGTAGTACTCTGACAGAAAGGATAAACTTCAGTTATCTGTAGGAAAATGGATGCACTCTGAGACCATAATTTTAAGTGAAATAAATCAGACACATGAGCTTAAATATCACATGTTTTCTCTTATATGAGAAACTCAAAATATAAATAAAGAGCAAAATAAAAAATAGAGGAAAAAAGAGATGGAGGGAGGGGGCTAAGAGGGAGACAAAAAATGCACCTAGGAGGGAAGGGAGGGGAGGGATGTGTTATATAGAGGGGGCTGGGGATTTAGCTCAGTGGTTCCAGCACCTGCCTCACAAGCACAAGGTCCTGAGTTTGATAGCCAGTACCAAAAAAAAAAAAAAAAAAAAAAAAAAAGATGTGTTATATACATGTACCAACTCTTCATAATGAATGGAATCATTAGGTACTGCAAACATGTACTAATAAAAAAAACTGTAAGAAAATAAAAAATTTCAATCTAAAAATTAGTTACAGTAGTTTGTAAATACCTTTAGAAGAATTTCTCGTATCAGTTTTAACAATACTTTTGTGTTGATATGCATAAAGACCAAATTTATTAACATAGTGAGACTTATTTAGTTTTCTTAAGAGATGAATTTCATTTCCCAACCTGGCAAACAAATGTCTGAAACTAAAAATATTGTTAGAAACTATATTCAGAATATTCTCAAGCAAAATCAAGGAACATCTATGAAAAATTAATAGAATCACTGACAAGAAAACATATATAAGAAAATAATGAAACTTTAAAGTCATTTCTTAAAGAATCTGTAATATTAGAATCTTCCTCAGTGGTACTGGATATTTTAAAATCGTATCATCTCTCGATTTTAAAGGGTTTATGGAGGCAGCAGTAGAGCCTTAAAAAAAAAAAGAAAAAAGGACCCATAACACAGGGAGGTGTGTAAGCTGTACTATCCTCTAATGATGAAAGGTAAGAGACATATATAAGCTACTCTTACCCACAGGTCTATTTATAGAATCACAATTCACCTCATAATTTTTATGATTCCCAAAATACTGAGACATGCTTTTTAAGGTGTTTTTAATAAGTAAAAATACAGACTTGGAGATTAAATCATTTTTCCCTTGAATTTTAAGCTTGGCATACACATATAAATTTTTGGCTCACACACAAACAATAACAGTAAAGCCAAATCATATATTTCATGCAAATAACTGTATTTTTATTGTATTATATTTTACATCTTTAAAATGCCAGAAATATTAAGGGTTCAATCAAGACAGACATGGGTTTAATGGATATAGGTTACAAAAAACATACTTAACATTAAAAGTATCATTCTTAAAATCATAAGCTTTTTCTAGAACACAAGATGGTTACAATAAAACTTACCTCAGTCTTTTTACTAATGTGATCTGTAAATGAAAAAAAGTGAGACTTTATTGAAGGGAATTACATACAAAAATATTTTATCACGTAAAAATACCAAAGTATTTAAAAAATTATAGTAAGAGTTAAGAAGTCTTTAAAGGTTTTCTAGGACTCACATCTGATTTACTTTTCTAAGCGTAAGATGTTAAAATTGAGCTTGGGGACTAGTGAGCAAGTGGTCCCTACATTGCCTAGCAATGACATCTGTATCAAGGGGTACTATTCAGTTTGAGCACATAGGTTCCATATAATATAGTTATTTGGTTTCACAATTTGGGGCAGAAGGAACAAATGAGAAACACAAATATGTGCAAAATGAAATCAGAGTATTCTGCAAAAATTTCAGATTACTGTTACTGTTGAATGAAACAAAAAATATAACTAATTTGTAGTCTTTAAAATTATTAGCTATTTATTTTTAAAACACATTGGGCCGGGGATTTAGCTCAGTGGTTCTGCTGCCTGCCTCTCAAGCGCCAGGTCCTGAGTTCGATCCCCGGTACCAAAAAACAAACAAACAAACAAACACATTACAGTGATTTGACAGTATTGATGTATATTTATATAATACAAAAATGAACCCATAAATAAATATATTTACATTAAGTAAAGCATTGACTTAGCAACAACATGGCATTTCTAGAAAAGAATGAGAACAGAATAAAGAAAGCAAGACAAAGGAATCTACACAGATGCAAGGTTGAATCTTAAGTACAGAAGGCCTGTATTATTTTAAACTGGAACTGATCATAACATACCACTTAACAATGCTTCTTGTATACACCAGAAATTTTCTAATCTCAAAGAATAAGAATAACTTCATAGAATAGCATTCTAAAGACTAAGAATCTAAAAAAGATGATCCAGTTTTCTAATACATTCATTGATCAGAATAGTATGTAAATACCAAATAAAAAGGTTCACAACAAAATGCCAAATTCTGATAGGATGCAGTTATTCCTCTGTGATGGTCTACTTAACACAAAATGTGATGTCAGAATCTGAGGAAGAATCAAAACTAGTAATTATTATTTGTAAAAACAACCTTCCCTTTAACATCATTACTGAAGTTTTTCACAATGCAGCTAATAAATTTACATCCTACATGAAAAAAATCAAACATGGAAAACTATGTTTTATTAAAAAATTCTTTTCATTGTTCTGTTTAGTGAGATATGTGTGTGTGTTATGGTTTAGAACTAAACTGTCCCCTCAAAGTCTTACAAGTTTGGAAGGTGATCATGGTATTAATACACTGATGAGTTCACAACTATAAATATGCTATGAGGAGGTGAGGCCTGGTCAGAGGAGGTAGGTCACTATGGGCTTGACCTTGAAGGGTGTATTTTTTCCCTGGCTCTTCTCTTTCTGCTTTCTTGTCACCGTAGTATAAGCAGCCTTCCTCTGCCATGGCCATCTGCCACACCATTTCTGCCTTAATGCCAGTCAACCATGGACAGAATGTTATCAAACCGTAGCCAAAATAAACCTTCTTTCCTCTAAGTTTGGGTGTTGGGTATTTTGTCCCAGTGACAGGAAAACTAAGACAGAAAATTGTTACCAGGAGTGAGTCTGTTGCTAGAACTGTACCTTTGCATTTCAGTTTGCAGAAGTTTAGAAAAGTTTAGAGATGCAAAATGGAGAAGACCTAAAATATTGTGAGAGGTACTTGATGTGTGATACTGATCAGAGTTCAGAAGTCTAGAATGCTGATAGGAATGTGGACAGTTAAAGGCCAAGCTCATGAGGTTTCATGAAGGAATGAAGACTACTGGAAACTGGACTAGCGGCTATGCATGTCTTATTCTGGCAAAGAATTTGTCTACCTTTTGTCCATGTTCTAAGAATGTGTGCAAGATTGAACGTAACACATTACCACCAGCTTGACCCACCAGTGGTACCTGCATGATGATCCCATGCTGCCCAATGGGACAGTCATGCATGTACCATCAGCCGCCCAACATTGAGGTTGTGGCATAGGTACTGCTGGCTGCTTTTAGCTGGATCTACAGTGAGAAATCAGGAGAAAATAGCGGAGCTGAATGACTTTGAGCATTTGCAGCTTTGTCAAAAGGATAGTACCTGCAAAGTTAGGACAAAGTAGAACATTATTGCTGAAGATAAGCATAAAAAGGAGCAAGTACTTTGCATCAGAACAGTAAGATGCCTTGAGGGCATTTCAAAAATCAGCCAGTCCTACCCACTGTGGGCTCAAGAGTACAAAATTGTAACCCTTTCATTTGACAAGAGAGTCCATGGGACCTACTCATGAAGGGCCTCCTATGGAACTGGCTCCCAGGATTCATTTCACTGTGCTCAGCCATCCCAGAACTGAAAGGCTGCTGTAGCCATAGTCCAAGGTTTGTGTGCGGTTACAGGGCTACTACCTAAGGCAGTAGACCTTGGTATCACCCACCTGGTTTTCCAGGAATGCAGAATGCAAGAGTTATGAGGACACAGAAGCTCCAACCCAGATTTCAAGAAAGGCCCTGAAGGCCACACAAAAAAGAGTGACAGGGTCACAGTCCCTGTCAGGTCACCCTGATAGGGTAATGCATGATGGTGTGACAGTGAAGCTGAAGGTGTAGGGAAGACCCTAAGAAGTTGCAGATGCCAGGAATGTCAATCATTTGCTGGGGAAAGCTGCAGGCAGTGAGCAGAGCTGGCCCAAGAGTGAGGCCATGTGGGCTGCAACTAGAAATGCTATAGGGGTGGAGCCTCCCAAGCCCTTTAGAACTCACATCTCCTTTCAACCTTCCCCAGATGCTAGATGTAATACATAGCATTTAATGTTTGCCCTTCTGGATTTCAATCTTGCTTTGGCACAATTCCTTTACATCTCCCTATTCCTACACTTCCTACATCCTACATCCTTCTGGAATGAGAATGGTTACCCTGTACCACTGTATGTTGGAGGTACTTAACTTTCCTGTTGATTTATGCAGGTGTTCACAGCTCAGATTTTGCCTGGAGTCTCACAGCAGACTTTGAACTTAAGACTGTTCAGCAATGCTGGAATTGCTAAGACTTTGATAATTCTTAGAGATGACTAATGCATTTTGCAAGAGAGGGACATGAGCCTTTTGAGGGTCAAGAGTGGAATGTTATGGTTTAGATTTTAAAAGTCTCCCAAAAGTCTCATGTTTGAAAGGTGAATGGATCGTGGGAGTGTTATACTCATCTGTGTTATACTCATCCATAGCTGAATGTGCTGTAGAAGGTGGGGCCTGGTCAAAGGAAGGAGCTCAACTGCAGGTGTGACCTGGAAGAGTATATTCTTGTCCCCAGCTCCTCTCCTCTCCTCTCTCTCTCTGCTTCCTGGCCACCAAAGTATGAGCAGCCTTACCATGGCCTTTTTTTTTTGGTACTGGGGATCAAACTCGAGTCCTTGCACTTGCCCAGCAGCCAGCGAAACCAATGAGCTAAATCCCCGGCCCTACAATGGCCTTTTTACCATGCTGTTTCTGCCTTGGAACCAACTTCCCATGGACTAACTGCTCTGAAACTGTAAATGAAAAGAAACCTCTCCTCCATTAAATTGTGTATATGGGATATTTTGTCCCAGTGATGAGTAAGCTGATGACATGTGTATGTATTGGGGAAGGAGGGACTGGAGATTGAACCCAGGGATACCCTACTACTAAACTACATACACCCTCAGCACATTTTTTTATTTTGAGTCACATTCTCACTAAGTTGCCCAAGTTAGCCCCAAACTTGATTCTCCTCAAATGTGTATTTTTTAGTAAAAATACTCTACCTATTGAGTAGCTGGGATTATAGTCATGCACCACTGATCCAAGCTCATGACATATTCCTATATGAAAACTTTCTTACTTAACTTGGAGAGTTCATTTTAACATACATGTATGTTCTTTCATGCCAAGTCAAAGCAACTTACTCAGAGGCAGACTATATGGAGAACTTTTGTTATCCTCAAAGAAATGCAATATAATTCTCGAAATTTATTCTTAATTTCATAGAAAGGCTTCCCTCTAAGAACAGTAGATTTTTTCATTTTTACTTTTTTAAACTTTTCTTGGGGGGGGGGGCGGGTACCGGGGATCAAACTCAGGTTCTTGTGCTTTCGCAGCAGGAAGCAAAACCATTGAGCTAAATCCCCGGCCCACTTTTTTAAACTATTGATATGGTATATTTATATTCAGGGAACAATGCCAAAAGTATTTAGTCTAATTTCTTTTGAATCAAATAAATCTGTCAGTGAACAAATAACTAGCATATAGTCAGCAACTATTCTGAGTGGTACACACACAGAGCTGTTCAATAAAATCTTCTGTGATGACGGTAATTTTCTAAGGCTGGAATAATATGAAAGCAATTAGTTACATGTGGCTACTGAGCACCTAAAATGTGGCTAATGTAACTAAGAAACTGTATTTTTTAATAGATATATAGTTAAATTGCCACACATGAATGATGCTGCCATGCTACATAGCACAAGTTAAGGGTTTTTACCATTTCCTATACTAAAAATAAGTCTGCCTTGGGATCTGTCTTCAGAAGGTTAATGGATGGTGAATTTCTTCTATCTTCACTGTTTCATAATGAATACAAATGATATTATAAACAGTTCTTTGATAGTAATTCTCATTCTTAAATTTGTATTATAGTTTTGTATAACCTGAAAAAGTAAACTAGTAATTACTGAAATCTGAGGATACTATCCTTGGCTTAGTGCAAATCAAATCAATTTATATATGGACAATATGTTTTTTTGTTTGTTTGTTTTCTGGTACTGGGGATTGAACTTGGGACCTTGCGCTTGTGAGGCAGGTGGCAGCACCACTGAGCTAAATCCCTGGCCCTGGACAATATGTTTTAAGAGCACTCAGAAACTAAAAATGTCAATTTTTATTTTTGGTAAGTGTTAGAAAAAGTTCTTGCTAAGTTTTATAGGATTTTAATGACTGATTTAAAGTTTTTCAACTACAAGTTTATCTGTAAATAGACTGCTATGGTTTAGACATCTGTCATTTCCAATACTGAAGTTGAAATTTAATTGTCATTGGAACAGTATCAAGAGGGGCGATGCATGCTATAATAAAAAAGTGAATTTAACCTCTTATTACTCTTTTGCCCTTTTGCCTTCCTCCATGTGACAATGAAACAAGTTCTTCATTAGATGATACCCTGACATGAATTTCCCTGCCTCCAGAACTGTAACCCAATGAATTTGTTTGTTGTAAATTATCCAATCTCAAGTATTCTATTATAGCAGTAGCTGGACTAAGACCAAGGCTTACATTTTACATTCTAAATAATATAACATCACAAAACAATTTTTAAATTTTTTTTAAAATTAGAAAGATACTTAACTATTTTAAATGGTCTTCTACCGTAACAGACATTGTATATATATTACCTTCAGATTGGAAATCTTTTAGTGATACTGTGAGAGGTTTATCTCTTCCTTGATGATTCTTTCTTTTATCTTTTTTATGCATAACCTTTGAATGAGTTGAAGCATTTTCAGTATTTTCATACTCCTGAAAAGAATTACCAACAATAATCAAGTTTCATTTATGAACTATAAAACCAACTCACCAATGGGTAGTATGTTTTTTAAAGTTGCACTTACAAAGAGCATTATGCTTTAAATCTAAAATGTCCCCCAAAAGTCTCATGTATTCAGAAGGGGACTCTAGAAAGTGACTGGATAATGAGGGGACTTTACTCATCAGTAGATTAACCCATTCATGATTTTGTGGCTGAATGTACTGTTAGGAGATGAGGCCTGGAGGAGTTTATTCTTGTACCTGGCTCCTCCTTTTTCTCTGCTTCCTAACTGCAAGAAGGTAAACAAGTTTTTCTCTGCCATGCTCTTCCAGTCTTGGAGCCAACCAACCATGGGCTGAAATCCTCTGAAACCATAAGTTAAATAAACCCCTCTTCCTTTAAGTTGTGGATGTCAGGTATTTTGTCCCAGCAAAAGGAAAACGACTAATATAGAAAACTGGTTCCAGGGGTGGGGTTGTCACTGGAACTGTACTTGACCATGTGGTTTAGAAGCCTTTGGAATTGCTTTGCAAGAATTTGGAAAGGTTTGGAGATGCAAGGTAGAGGAGCCCTAGAATGCTGTAAGCAGAGCAAGAAGAGAGATTCTAGTCAGAGCTCAGAATACTAGAATGCTCATAGAAATGTGAATAGTAAAGGTTAGACTCATCAGGTTTCAGTTGGGAATGAAAATTCTACTGAAAACTGAACTAGGGGCCATGGATGCTTCATTCATCCTTGCAATGAATGTGTCTATATTTTGTCCTTACAAGGCTGAATTTAAAGATGTCAGACTAATTGATCCAACAGAAGAAATTTCAAGGTAGCCCAACATTCAGATTGTGGCATAGGTATGGCTGGCTGCTTTTAGCCACATCTACAGTGAGAAATCAGAAGCAAACAGCAGAGCTGAATGATCTTAACAGTTTGCAGTTTTGCCAGAAAGGAAGCACCTGCAAACTTAGGGCAAAGGAGAGCATAGTTGCTAAGAAGATTAGCATCAAAAAGAAGCCAGGGATTTAGCTCAGTGGTTCTGGTGCCTGCCTCCAAAGCACTAAGTCTCAAGTTCAATCCCCAGTAACCCCCCCCCCAGCAAAAAAAGAAGCCAAGTACTCCTCATGAGGACTATGGGAAAGACACCTTGGGAGCATCTCAGGATATGGCCAGACCCCAACCCTGGTGATGTAAAAACATAACACTTTTGAAAGACTTTGCTTTGAAAAGAGTACATCAGGGCTCCCTGCTCATTCAGGGTCACCTAGGGAAGTGTTTTCCCAAGTTAACAACAACCTCTCCAAGAGAGCTATAATACTGTTACGGCCAGCAGCAGACCACGTCTCAGAAAAGCAAAAAACAATATAAATAAATAAAAAATAAGTAAAATAAACCATCTGTTGTGAATTTCATTCCTCTTTCCTTCATCTTTGGTGAAGAAACTCTATAAACATTCTAACTCATCAGGGGGCTGGGGATTTAGCTCAGTGGTTCCACCACCTGCCTGGCAAGCGCAAGGTCCCGAGTTTGATCCCCGGTACAAAAAAAAAATTCTAAATCATCAGACAAATCTTAGTCTACATGTTTCTGTTTTCTCAAAACTTGAAGAGGAATGCTATTACAAAAAGTTCTTGACATAAAGAGTCGCTGATTAGGTTTTTTTTCAGACAGGGTTTCACTATGTACTTCAGGCTGGCCTTGAACTCACTAGGTAGCTAGCAATCGTCTTGCCTCAGCCTTCCAAGTGCTGGGATTATAGGCATGTGCCATCACTCCCAGCATAACAGATATTGGGAAATGGGAAGAAAATGTTCAAATAAAAAGGAGAAGGGGGTGGGGGTAAGGGACAAGAAGAAAAAAAAATGCAAACAAAGCTTTTGTAAATAAGGAGGGGAAGAGGGATTGAAAGGAAGGGTGAGGAATGGAAAAAAAGCAAGATATTATATCATGTACAGGTACAAATTCCCTAAAATAAATGTTATCATTATGTATATCTAAAATGTACCAATAAAAAAAACATGGTAGAGCAGGGGTTGGCCAACTACCTATTTTTTGAAAAAAAAGTTTTATTTAAAAAAAAAGTTCTTGATAATATTTTATAACAATGATGAATTTTTAGGATAAACTTTATTTCATTTTGCAGTGTTGGTGATCAAACCCAGAGCCCTGCACATGCTAGGCAAGTGCTCTACCATTGAGCTACGTCTCTGGCCCTAAAGGATAACTTTTATGTAAAATTCAGAAACATTAGTTCTTGTCTTTTACCACTTAAAACTTTTAAAAGGAAATTAATAAATAAGTAAAAATACCTTTTTGTGCTCTTCATATTCTAATTTACTTAGCAATAATGCCTTCTCAAGATCAGCTTCAAACATTTCAGATGTCAGCTAAAAAAAAAAATTTCACAGTAAACAATAGCAGTAAACCCACTAAAAAGTAACCATGACACATGCCAGTATATACAGGAAAAGAAAACCAGTATGTCCAAAAACATAACCATTTAAAGAAAAAAATCATCATTTCTCCAAATTTATTTAACAATGCCATATTAGGGAACTCTGTATCTTATATAGGATACCAAAGCATAAACTTCCACTTCTGGGATTTCTATTTCTCCCTTCACTGTTGATTACCTGCTGTATATGATATAACACTACCTTTCACTTTAATAAAAATCTTACAAATAAGTCAATACTAAAATAGATGTAAAAGACAGTAACCCAGTTTAGAACAACAAAAATTTTAACACCAATTACTACTGAAAAAATACAATAATAGTGAAAAATAACTGAATAAGCATTATTAAACATAATATACAATTTCCTGAAGATAGAAAAATCCACAGGTACAAAACCTTTAGGTGATCAAATGCCTTGGTATATGCCAGTTATTATAATTACTTATAGTGCAGCCTTTTACTTTCAAAATTATAAACTACATGTTTGCCTTACATTTAAATCAGGTAATGCTTTAATGAAATGATTCCTCTTCCTAATCACTCAGTCCTACCTTAACTTCTTACAACCTATCTTTCAGCACTTTCCAATCTAATTATTCTCCATAACAATTAGTTTTCTTGGGCTGGGGATGTAGCTCAGTGGTGCCACACCTGCCTGGCAAGCGCAAAGTCCTGAGTTCAATTCCTAGTACCAAGAGAAAACAAGCTAACTAGTTTTCTTAAATGCCAGGCAGAACTGCTGCAGTGCATGGATGAGGATTTGGTTGTTCACTATGAGGGATAAGGTCAAGTTTACAGCTGTATGTTTTGAAAAACTTACAATATGACAGGAATATCCTACATTTGAGCAAATGTACATGTCTGTGTGTGCCATGAACATGTCTTATTTTTGTCTTTGAAAATTCCTTCCTTTATTCAAATACCCTTTAATACAGCAGGATAGGCTGCCAACCCCAGGTGACGCCACACAGCCCCGTCGGGCCCACTGCTGCCGCTTCGCAGGTATTTTAATTAATATAGCCAAATTACACGCAGAAAAAAATAAGCAGGATCAGTAAAGTTTTTATTTATCATCAAGGCCTAGGTTATCTCGTTGTGCAGTACTGCTAGAGGCTCCTCACTTCTGTGCCCCTACTGGGCACTTGTTCAGGGCTGCATGGTCAGCCCTTATCCAAGAGCTAGCAGGAACTTGAGACCTTCGCTACCTTTCTGCAGACTCACCAGGAAAACAAAATGGTTGAAGCAGATCACCCAGGAAAGCTCTTCATTGGTGGGATTAATACAGAAACAAATGAGAAAGCCCTTGAAGCAGTATTTGGAAAATATGGACGAATCGTTGAAGTGCTCTTGATGAAAGACCGAAAAACCAATAAATGAAGAGGATTTGCTTTTGTTACATTTGAAAGCCCAGATGTTAAGGATGCAGCTCGGGACATGAATGGAAAGTCCTTAGATGGAAAAACCATCAAGGTGGAACAAGCCACCAAACCATCATTTGAAAGTGGTAGATGTGGGCCACCTCCACCTCCAAGAAGCAGAGGCCCATCTCACTGCTCCTGGACCAGAGGAAGGGGCTTCCCAGATACCATACCTCCTGCTGCTCCCAGCCCACAGGAAAGGGCTTTTGGGCCACCATCTCTACCGCTGCTTCCGGCCCCTGTCCCACCTCTCCCAGCTCAGAGAAGGTAATCTGGGCAGGCACTAACAGCCCCCCCACCCCAGTCAAAATGAGAAAACACATAAATAAGTCTCAAAATCAGACTCCCAGATCACCTACAGCAACCCCAAAGGGAAATGAGATGGAACACTCTGAT